CGCCAGGAGAGTGAGAGAGAGACAGCAAGAAGTCAGAGGCTCAGGAGGACCAGAGGGGGCCTCCAGATATTTTCCTATACCTGCCACCTCATTCGGAGAAGGCAGTGGCAATCCACTCCAGTACTCTTGCCAGGAAAATCCCATGGATGGAGGAGCCTGGTGGGCTGCAGTCCTTGGGGTCACTGAGGGTTGGACATGACTGAGCAACTTCACTTTCACTTTTCACTTTCATGCACTGGAGAAGGAAATGGCAACCCACTCCAGTGTTCTTGCCTGGAGAATCCCAGGGACAGGGGAGCCTGGTGGGCTGCCGTCTATGGGGTCGCGCAGAGTCGGACACGACTGAAGCGACTTAGCAGCGGTAGCAGCAGCAGCCACCTCCTTGTCCCCAGGTGTGACTCAGGTGAGCCTGTGGACCACTTGGTTCTTACCACCACCCTCACCTGATAGCAGCATCTTGAGGTTGTCCTTGCAGTGCTGGAAGAGAGGAATGGACAACTCTTCACAGGAACAAGAGGCACCTCGTGAGGGCAGACCAGGCCCCACTGCCCAGCTCCAAAGGCAGCCCAACCTTCTGTTTACTGAGACTCAGTGCCCTGAAATGCTGGCCCTGGGGCATCTGACTCCACTGGGCCCTTATCCAGCAAGGTGGGTGCCCCAATAAACACGCTCCTGCACAAACATCCAGAACATAAATCAAAACTCACTTGTAGGATGAATGATTCTAAAGGACCTTTCACGTGACAAAAGGACTTGCCATGTTCTCTTCCTCCAAGATGGTGAGATGTATGCAGTCAGATAAACTCAGGTTCCAATCCCACACTCCCTTGCCAGATGACCTTTGACAGATCCCTTAGTATATCTGATCTTCAGATTCTTTATCTGGAAAATGGAAATAATCTGTTCTCTAACCTCATGGGGTGATTGTAAGGGTTAAATGAGATAAAACCCCTTTTTTAAAGTCAAGGCAGTATTCCCACTGTTGCTGTTAGCTCTGAAGATGTGCCCGGTGCTACTTTAAGCATCTTACACCTATTAATTCATTTAATGATTAAATAACCATTTACCCAAGATGTTATAAAATAAAAAGTACTTTCTTTCCTTAAAAGTTGAAAACTTCATTTAAAAAATAACTCAACCAGACTACCCTAGTGGTCCAGAGGTTAAGACTCTTTGATATTAATGCAGGGGTCCTGGGTTCTATCCTTGGTCAGGGAATTAGATCCCACATACCACAACTAAGACCCAGCACAGCCCAATAAATACATAATAATAAATAAAAAAACTTCACAACTAAAAAACTTAATACAATTCAGTAAGTGATTGGTTGCAAAATTAATATGTACGATAGCTATAACCTTCAAATCTACAGCAACCAGTAAGAAGATATAAGAAATTCAGCTAAAATAGCAATAACAAAAAGGAAAAATACATAGAAATAAACTTTAAAAGATGTGTAGAAAATTCCTGAATGCCACTGATAGCTCCAAAAGGACATTTAAACATAAGAAATAGCACGTTCTTAGATTGGAAGACAAAACATAATGAATGTGCTGTGCTTAGTTGCTTAGTTGTGTCCGACTCTTTGTGACCCCATGGACTATAGCCTGCTAGGCTCCTCTGTCCATAGGGATTCTCCAGGCAAGAATACTGGAGTGGGTTGCCATGCCCTCCTCTAGGGGATCTTCCCTACCCAGGGATCGAACCCAGGTCTCCTGCATTGCAGACAGAATCTTTACCTTCTGAGCCACCAAGGAAGCCCAAGAATACTGGAGTGGGTAGTCTATCCCTTATCCAGGGGAACTTCCTGATCCAGGAATTGAACTGAGGTCTCCTGCATTGCAGGCAGATCTTTTACCAGGTGAGCTACCCAGGAAGCCCAATGAAAATGTTATTTCTCTCTGAATCAATCTATGTTTTAAAATGACCTCCATGAAAATAACAAAAGATTTTATTTTTATTTTTAACTAAACAAGCTGATACTAAGCTTCATCTGGAAAAAGAAATCAGGAAAAATATTCAGGAAAATAATAAGGGAGAGTAATGGGCCTGGTGTGAGAATTTACCAGGTGATAAAGCATGGTATAAGGTTATGAGTTTAAATTAGTGTAGTCCTACTTATGAGAAAGACGTGAAGCAGAACATAGTCCAGAAAGAAACCCAGATTCAGTCATTCAGAATATAATAAAGATTACATTTCAAATGAGTAGGGGGATGATGGATTTTTAATAAAATTGACAGTACCCTTATACCCATATACATTGTAGATGTATTGAGATTAATAAATGAAAGAAAATATAAGCCATAGAAAGTATCAAAAGCAGTACTTAGGAGGATATTTATATAGAATATATACATTAGAACAGAAAGAAAGAGTGAAAAATCAATGAACCAACCAACCATCTCAAGAATTTAGGGAAACAGACCCAAAGAAAACAAAAGAAAGAAAGTAAAGGCAACATGTATGCATGCATACTCAGTAGTCTCAGTCATGTCTGACTCTTGGTGACCCCACGGACTATAACCTACCATTCTCCTCTGTCCATGGGATTATCCTGGCAAGAATACTGCGTAGATTGCCGACATAGAAATTGAAAAACTAGAAAACCATATATACAGTCGAGAGGATCATCAAAGTCAGAAGTTCGTCCTTTGAGAAGTCTAATTTTTTTAAAAAATGAAACCTAAAAGTACTAAAAGAAAGATTGTCACAGCCTGGGTGGGGAAGACCTTTCTAAGTCTGATATATAATCATGGGCACTCCCTGTACCTCCTCCTGTTTTATTTATTGTTCTCCAAATCACTTCATCTGGCACTCAATTCACAATCATGTTTGTTTGCTTCTTGTCTGCTCTCAACTAGACAGAAAAACTCTGTATTCCCTGGAATAAAGCCTAGGACAGTCCTGCCATATAGCAAGTGTTGAGGGCTATCTGTGGAATGACTGTTCAGAAAGTGGGGAAGGTATTTCCTTAATATATAAAGAGTTCCTTAAAAATTGCTAAGAAAAAGATAAAAGGATATGAATAGAAAGTTCATAGAAAATAAAATACAAGTGACTCCTACACATGTAAAAAGATGTTTAGTTTCATTCACAACAGAAGAAATGCACATTGAGAAATGAGATACCATATTTTACCTATTATGTTGACAAATAACTTTTCTTTAAAAAAAGGCTGATAACACATATGTTGCTAGTAGGAGAAGAGTTAAACTGTACAGTTTCTGCAGAAGATAACTAGACAGTATTTATCAAAATTGCAAAGGTGCATCCCATGGCTCATCAGGCCATATCTGTCAAAATTATGAAGGCACACACTCATTCGTCTAAAGACAATCATCCAAAGATACTCCCTCAGCAGTATTTGTCATTAAAAAAATGGAAACAATTTAGATGTCTATCAACAAGGAATTGTTTACATAATTTATGGTACCGCCACACAATCAAACTTTTTGCATTCATGAAAATGAACAAATCTGCTCTGTATGTTCTGATGTGGAAACATCTGCAAAATGAGTTGTTAAATGAAAAAAGATGCAGGGCTGTGTGACCATTTGTGTATACTGCACATACTTGTAGAGGCATAAAATATTTCTGGAATGATTCATAAGAAACTGATAATAGTGCATAACGCTAGGGCAAGCATGCCTGGGGGAAGGCATGGGAGAAAGATTTACTTTTCATCTTTTGAATTTTAGTATACCCTATGTCTGTGCCATGTCGATTCAGTATAGCCATATATGCCTCTATAATGCATCTGAGATCTCTAGAAAGGGGACATCTGAATCTGGCCACAGTGACTGCCTTTACAGAAGGAAAGTGAGTGCTGGAGGGCCCTGGAAACAGAAACTAGGCACTGAACTTAATGAGTTCCGTTTTAATTTTTCTTGACCGTAGGCATGTCTTACTTGCTCATTAAAATACCAAAACTCATTTCTCCTTGCTTCTCCAGACTGCCACTGTCTGCCGTGCCCCACCCCCATCCCTGCCCCTCTGTTCAGGCTCAGGCCGCCTTCTCCACAGCGGGGCATGACCGGAAGGGCAGGGACTGCGGGATCTCCTTCTGCCTTGGGGCTTCCTTGCCCTCATCTGTAAAATAGGAGAACAGTAGTGTCTATGCTCTAGGGTGCCTGAGACTGGTGTACATAAGATAACATCCCCCACCCCCCCTCCCCCCGCCGACCTTTGTCAGATACCTCTAAACTTTGAAGGAAGAAAGAAGTGGCAAAGGCTTTGACAGTACCTTCTAATATTTATGAAGAGCAGTGAGGACATTCTTCTAGTTTGTACTCGGGGTTGAGGGTTAAAAGAAGGTGTCCCAGATTGCTCAAGTGCCCAACATCCTGGAGCCCCAAACTCCCAGCCTGGGAGGAAGTTTTGTTCGGTGTAAACAGAAGGGAGCGGGTTCTGCTCTAGTAGGTGCAGCATCAGCTGGCTGTGAGGTGGGGAGGGGAATGTGCCGGGAGACAGTAGGAAGGGAGGGGGCTATCTGTCTGCCCCCACCCCAGACCTGGGTAGGGAGAATCAAGTGCAAAGCCTGCCTTGCTCCAGAGCCAGCATGAAGCTTTCAGTACCGGAGTCAAATATAGACCCATTTCCATAAAAGCACCAGCCTGCTTCTATAAATACCTCAGCCAGTTTTCCGGGGTTCTCATGTGACTTTGATGCCTACCTCTGTCTGCGGGGATCCGTCTCCATGGTGACCGGGCCATATGACCAGCTACTCTTCATTCATGGCAGGTTGCCGCATCCGTGTTGGGGGTGGGGTGGTGAAGGGGGCTGGAGGGAGGGCTAAGGAAGGGAAAAGGGGAATGAACAATGAATAACGATAAACTGTCTGGTCTTGAGGGGAAAGGCAGAGTGCCAGCCTTAATGCAAGGATGCTCTGACAGAATTATTAATCTCCCCAAGGCTGGCTGTTGGGGAGGAACATTTTTATTTGAGAAGCAATAGACATCTTTGCCTATGAGTCAGAGAAGCAAAATCTCAGGGCTGTAAGGGGCACCTTAACAACTCTTGAGGACTGTTACAATCCCCTGGTTGTCAGATGAGGGTAACCAGGCCTGGAAAGGTCAAAGGACTTGTCCAAGGTCAGGCGGCGAGTCAGTTGGGAACTGGGACAAGAATCAGCATGTGTGTGCTCAGTAGGCTCCTCCCCATCCCTCACTGGGACTCTGCTCTGGCCTGGGGATGGCAAGGGGCTGCAGAGATAGAAGTGTGACTCTGGTCAGTGGGGACTTCGATACCTTGGCTCTCATGTCATCCCACCTGGCTGGGGTCATAGATCCTTCAGGGGAGGGAAAAACCACTCTGGGCCGAGACTCCACCCTGGCCACTTGGCAGATCCATGTGGAGAGAGTGGCTAATAAATCATGAGAAGTCCCGCAGTATCCAGCAAAGCCAGATGTCGTCCTCAGGCATCTATGGAAATATTTCTGTGATCAGAATGTCCCAGATCTGCCCCCATCCAGCCAAACCCCTCAAACATCACCAAGTCCTATGCCCATCCTTGCTTGGGGCTGGGGATGAGATGAAACGGTAGGAAAGGACTGTTCATGCCTTCACAGAGCTGCCCTGCTTAGGTGCACATGGAGAAGTGAATAGAAGAGAATTTGGTTAACCAGCAGCTGAGCTCCAGGGACGTTTGGAGCTGGATGTAAGATGGGCCATGGAAGTTGGGGAAGACTTACAGGAGAAGGGGAGGGGAGGACACAGCCAGGCAGGCCGAAGGGGAAGGGCATTCTCAGGGGATCCTGGGTGCTGGGGTAGGACCTGTGCAGGGGGAGGGGAGTGCAGGGCAGTGCTCTGTTGAGGTGGACCAAGGAGGGAACTCTGGACATGCCTTGGGTTAGGACACTGCTGATCACAGACTTGATTCATGTGGTTCAGTCACATGAGCTCAAACCACCAGCAGTGGAGGGTCCAGGAGTACCAGAGATGACAAAGAAACTCGTGCACTGGCATATTTCTGGGGGAGACAGAACACAAAACCAGACATTATCATGGGCCTGCACGTGTCAGTATCAGCCACAGGCTCTGAAACCACCTGGCCTCAGGACGAGTCTTCAGCAAGCTCCACAGAGGTTAAAATCCATCAGGCTGGAGGCTGGTACCAGCCACAGTGACCCAGGGCAATCCTCCGTCTTCCTAACTCTCTTCACCTTTGCAGTCTTTTTAGTGCTGAGGATAGAACCTCCTGCCTGTCCCTGCCCCCTCACTACCATGGGCTCTCAGCCAGCCTGACAGTGGACTGGCTATAACAGTGCATCCCCAAGCCCAAGGGGTGAGAGCTGATGCTCTGATGTGGAGGGGGAGCGGCAAGAGAACAAGCCGTGCAGGCCATGCTTTCTCTCTGCTTCACCACCATCTGAGCACCCACGCTGTGTGTGTTTACTTCACCAAGGCTGCCAGCTGCTGGAGTCCAGAGACAGTGCCCAGCCTGTTTCTAGAAAAGCCTCTCTGGCTCCTAGCTGAGAGTGTGGGATGGAGGCACACGTTCATTCAGCTGACAGGTAGTCAACATGGTGGAGTGGTCAGAGCACCCTGGGGAGACAGATTTGAATTAATTCTGGCTCTGTTGCTCACTTATGACTCTCTTAGGGAGATTATGTAGACTCTCCAGGCCTCCGTTGCTTATCTATGAAAGAGGATAATGTCACCTAATATGAGAAACAGTTGCGAAAATCAAAGTGATTACGAAGTGTCCGGCACGTAGAAAGTGATTATAAAAGACAGTTGCCTCAGACTCCCCTCAGGGTCCAGTGGTTAAGAATCCACGCTTCCCATGCGGAAGATGTGGGTTTGATCCCTGGTCAGGGAATTAAGATCCCACATGCTGCATGGCACAGCCAAATGAATTTTAAAAAAGTAAAAAGCAGCCATCTCTACTACAGTGGGTGGATGAATGGAAGCACCTCCTCGTGGGTACCAGTTTCCATGCTCACTGGCCCAGCATTCTTGAGTCTCCCCCTGCATCATCTCTTCTGCTGAGAAGATTCTCCCCCTTGGCTCCCCTCATCAGAAGCCTTTCTGTCCTTCAAAGCCCCATTTCAGTGTCACTCTTCCCTGCTACCATGCCCGATCACCCACAGGATGCTCCTTGCGTAGACTCTGCTCACAGAGGGGACCGGCTATTGTACCATCCTTCAGTATGCAGCAATAACAACAAGTGCTGCCGGGATAGGATGCCATTTACCGTGCTGAGAACCTAACAGGCCTGAGACTTAGAAAGGTAAGTGACTTGTCCATGGTCACACAGCTATGACGTGGCGAGAGTGAAAGATAAACTCCAGCCCGTTTGGCTCCACCTCTTGAGCACAGCTTCTGCATCCTCCCTGTTAATGATACTCTTACTTGACCATCTTTACTCTCTCAACTACATTACCAGCCTGTGTGGTGTGGCAGGAAAAAAAATACAGATCCTGGGTTCAGCTAGAAATAGGGTTAAAATTCACCTTTGCCACTGACGAATTGTAAATAAGCTGTGATCTCGTAAGTCCTCAATCTTTCCAGATCTGTCTCCTTGCCTACAGCTGTGTGCGGTCCTTGAGATGACATGACACGCGGTGATGGGCCTGTCTTATAACAACAGACATCACCACTGGCACGGCCTGGTCCCCCAGGTGGCTGGGTGTGTGATGACAGCCAGTCCTTGAGTTACATTCTGTACCAGGCACCCTTCTAAGGGCTCCTGTACATCCTCTCTTTGTTTTCCTGATAACATTACCATGAAGTAAAGACTTTGAGGATATCCATTTTATAAAACCAGAGCTTAAAGAGGTTGAGAAACTCGCCCAGTGCGGCAAAAGCAGACTGCAAAGCTGGGACTTGACCCAGATCCATCAGATCCCAAAACCCATGCTCTGCACCGTGATTCCTCACTGCTTCCTTTCGAAGTAGGTGATGAATATTCTTCTTCCATTACTGCCATGAGGCAGTTAAACAGAAATCACAAATTCCATTTTACAGATGGAGCAGCAAAAACCTGAGGTATCAAGTGACTTACCCAAGGTCACGTGGTGACAGAGTCAGTTCTTGAAAACTTGGGGCTCCTAAACCCAGGGCTCCACTTTCTCCCTTGTCCCTGCTGCCTGTAGCTGAGATTCTTGAGACAGAGACATCAGGACTCTGGGAGCTTGGCCAGTAAGTTGGCCACAGGTTTCAGCCTCAGTCCAGGAAACCTCCAACCATGGAGAAATTTGCTTTGAAGACAAAGGATGATTCCTGGCAAGGAAAGTCATTCCTATTTCTGTTCTAGACAAATGGGAAGCTGTCTCAGATTCCATGATAAATCTTTTTGCTAAAGATGATACATCACTTTGAGTTGGTTATATGCGCAGTCTTTGGACATCATACAAGTCAATTACTGAGACCAAGTCCTCAGAGCTGAGCAGAGATATTTTCTTCGGTTGCTGTAACACAGCCAGAGCCTCCCAGGGACTGCAGAGTGCTGACACCTGCCCAGAAGCCCTGTGGGGAAGGTGTCCACCACTCCCATTTTGATGGCCTCCACTGTCTCCCCCGAGGTCACCACAAGGTTTCTGGGCAGGGTTATTGACAGCCAAGATTATTCTGCCTATTTTATAATCCCAAGCCTTACTCTTGGCTAACTGGACTTGGGGAAGTAAGTTTCCACTCCAGGACAAAACCCCAAGTACAGAGCAGCAAACAGGGCCTTGCTTCCCTGACCCTGAGTCTCAGACGCACATCCCTACAGCCTGAGGAACTCCTTACCTGAGGCTGAAACACTTCCAGGTCAACTCTCTGCCCCTCGCAAACCTCTTGGGCATCACAACTTGCTGAGGCTGACCCCTGAGAACCACCCCAGGAGAGCAGATCCAGCCTTCCCTCACTCTCGGACTCTAAGAGGAGCCTGTGTATGGTTTTCAGTGCTGCAGGACCAAGGTTTGAGACCATATTAAGAACATGGGTGATGTGAAGCTCACTTTGGCAGGTCTTTAATTTCTCTGAGCCCTCATCTGAAAATGTGACCAATGGCCCATCCTAGCTCCAAAATGCGAAGAGTCATTCTCTGGGATTCCAGGAACACAGTTGGAGATGGCTGGAGCATAAGATGAGGGGGCTGGAGTGGTAAGGAATAGGGAGGTAGGGATTAAATGGAGAGGGCAGGGGTCTGAATCATACAGAACTTGAATGTCATGCTAAAAGGCTTAGATTTTATTTTAAAGGTAATGGAAAACCAGGGGAAATTTTTAAGCATGGGAGAAGAGTTGCCAGATTTAGCAAATACCAAACATCTATTTAAGTTTAAACTGGGCATCGTGTATTTTATCTGGCAATGCTGCAAGGAGTGACAGAGAAAGCTCTCTGGCCACTGAGTGGAGAATGTGTCCTAGGGAATAACACTGGAAGCACAGACCATTGAGGAGGTGATTATCTTCCAGGCAATAGTTACAAAAGTTAATATTTGTTGAACGCTTGTTTTTACCAGGCACTGTTCTAAGTGTTTTATGTGTATAAATTCATTTAATTCTCATAACAAAGTGTAGCATCATTTCCGTTTTACAGGTGAGGAGACAGTGGCACAGAGGGGTTAAGTTATTTGTCTAAGTCACACAGCTAGTTAGTGGCAGAATTGAAATTGGAGTCCCAAGCCCACATGCTTAACCACCGTGACATGCTGCCACTCCAGTGGGCCATGAGAGCCTGGACCAGGCCCTGTAGTGGGAATTAGGTGTTAGTCTGAAGCTGTCTTGACGCCCCAGCCCCTGGGGTGGGGGTTGGGATGCTGTGACTGGCAGAGAAGTGAGAAGGGAGGCCAGGGATCCAAGCTCTATCACAGTGACACATTTTCAGATTACCTGGTACTTTTTGAAGCAGGAAGAAGAGCTCATAAGAAAAAGAACTAGTGTTTCTTCAGCATCTACCAAACACCAGGCAGGGAGCACAGCAATCCTCAAAGTATTCAGGAGTCACAATCAGCAGGCACAGTGGTCGACGGCTGTGGAGTGAAAGAGGACTTGAGGATTCTTGTTTGGGATGACTGAGGGGCCCCATTGAGGGACCAGAGAGAATAGGCATCTAGTTCAGGACATGTTGAATTTATCAGGTATAAGACCAGGAGGCAATCAAGGCCCAGAGAGGTTAAGTGACTACCTTGGAGTCACACAGAAGAAAGAGTCAGTGCAGAAACTAGAAATCTCTTTGACTGTGTCTGGGGTGCCTGATACAGACAGGACCCCAGTCTAGGTTCAAAGGTGAAGACACCTCAGAACACAAGTCGTGACCAGTATTTGGGGACTGCTATTTGATGCGGGTTCAGGTGGTACCTACGTGCTCAGTTCTGAGAGCAGAGCGTGCCCCTTCAACTTTGAAATGAAAGCCAAGGGCTGAGTTTTAAGCACTGTGAGCCAAGAACATTCTCTCTGCAATGGTTTTCTCCATCTGTAAAAAGACAACAACCCCCACACTCACTTGCTTACAGGACAGCCCACCCTGTAGGGGACCAGCCCACCTGGCCTTCTCTCCTGCTGACCATCAGCTCCCCTCCCTGCTGCCACATCCACTGGCTTCCTAGGGGACCCAGCAACCCCCACCAGCAGTTGCCCAGGGATTGCCACCAGGGGTGGCCGGAGGGACAGCAGAGACACCACAAGAATCCCAAGGAGATGGGGAGGCTCCAGCCGGGACAGCCTGGAAATGTACAAAGCCGATCCCTAGGGACCAGCGAGAGACTGACGTCAAACCGAGGCTGAAAATATAGTCTGGAAAGTCACGCGGCATTGTGAAAAATGAGCCGTTCTCCCCGGCCAGAGACATGGACGGTGGGGAAGGGACATAAATCCTGGCTCTTTAGAGGCTCCAAACAGCAGGGGTTGCTAGCTTCTAGGCTGCCTGTCGAGAGGTCTCGGGGGTCCCCAGTGTCCCATTCAGGGGTCAGGGCACCTGCAACTATCCCCATTCCTGAGAGCAGCCAGTGCCCTGAGAACTGGGGGCCAGCAAGGGCATCTAGGGGTGATCCTGGCCCCCTCCCGCATGCCCACACTGCCCAGCCCGGCTTTGGCTAAGCCGTGGTGTGGTGGGCAACGCGACCTCCCGCGAGCCACACGCAGAAGGTGCAAAGAGCCAGGGCCAGTGCCTCAAAGTGGAGGTCAAGGTCCCTGATGGCATTGAGCGCTGAAGCGCAGCCCACTGCCGGGGAAGCCTGCTTCCCCATTCCATTTTCTTCCCCTCCCCACCCCACCACCATCACAACTACTTAGAAGTCTCTCCTTTTAAGAGGTACAGAGGTGTTGGGTGGCCTGGTGTCCAATCCATAGGCAGTCTGTCAGGGAGGGCCTGGAGTCCGCTGCCGTGTGAGGTTCTCAGAGACTGGACTTCCCACGGCCCTCAGACGCCCAAGCACCCCCTTTAGGCTGGTGTGAAAGGAACAGAGGAGCCCCAGGCATGAGGGCTGGTCGTGGGATTAGGCTTTCTGGGACACCTGGCCCTGGGCCCTCAGGGCCTGCAAGGACATCAAAGGCAGACCGCCCTGCCCCCACTGGCCTTGGTACTCCGTCCAAGAATTAAAGCAGTCCCAGGGAAAGTGACCGGGGTTCCCCACCAAAGCAACAAAGGTTACATTTTCACCACCTTGTGGCAACAGAGTCAAATGAGGTTTGGTTTGTCTTACCCCTGAGTTAAGGGGCTTCCCTGGTGGCTCCACGGTAAAGAACTCACTCGGCTGCCAATGCAGGACAGACAGGAGAGGTGGGTTTGATCCCCGGGTCGGGAAGATCCCCTGGAGGAGGAAATGGTAACCCACTCCAGTATTTTTGCCTGGGAAATCGCACAGACAGAGGAGCCTGGCCAGTCCCTGGGGCCGCACATAGTCAGACACAAGTTAGCGACTAAACAACAACCACCCCTGAGTTCAAGATTAAGATTCTTACCTTCTACAGTTTCCTATTCCTGTGTCTTGTCCCCTCTTCTAGTCTGCCCCTCCAAGTTCCCTTTTTAACACCCCAGCTCTGGTGTTGTTCTCTCTCTGAATGCTCCCACCTCACTCCTCACCCCCAGCCCCATGATCCCCCCCAGAATAAATCACCCTCTCCTTTGAGCTTCTCCACAGACAAGCCTCCTGACCCTGCATCTAAGTGTCACACACATGTCTGTCTCCTCCTGCGGGGTTCTTCCAGGGCAGAGGGGCCTTGGTCATCTTTGCGGCCTTCAGGGTTCAGCTCAATCCAGCCAGAAGGAGGGCTCGGCTCAGTTCATGAAATCTAACTAAACAGGGTTCATGTGTATGTTAGCGTCGCAGAGACCCTAGAAAGACAACCAAGGGCTGGAGCCCTGGGCTGGGAGGTGGGGATGTCATCGCACTCTCCTCTGAGCACCTGTCCCCAAAGCCCTGGACCTCAGGGCTCTGACAATCCTTGGTGTGAAGCAGAGGATACATGTGCCTGAAAATCTAAGTCAGAGTCTATCCCTAACCTCAAAGTCCTGGCCTGGCTCCTCACCTCACTGGGACAAAAAAAAAAAACCAAAGTCCTTAGCAAAACCCAAAAGCCCTGTGTGACCTGGTCCCCATTATCTCTAACCTATCTTGTGCTGTGCTCTGTCTCCTTTCTGCTCCAGCCACAGCAGGCCTCCGTCAGCACCCACCTCAGGACCTTTGCACCTGCTCTCTCCCATTGCTCAAGTGTTACCTCTAGGAGGCCTTCTCTGATCAGCTTATTCAAAACCACACACATGCACACACATACACACAAGCATGCTCTCTCTGCCCCTTCCCTGTTTTCTCCTTATTATTGATCAGCAACTGATACCTATTATATTTTATTTATTTATTTATTATTTCTCTCCCCAAGTAGAATGGAGATTCAATCAGAGCAGGAACTTTTATCTGTTTGATGTTTTTTCTTCTCTTAATTCATGCTCCTCCTTTAATATCTTGTAACAAATTTTGAGATATACAGTTATCTACTCTTTTAAGTTACATTAGACGGTGAGAATGAGAGGAAGAAAAAAATATTTTAATAGAAATATACATATAAACATATTCGTAAGGAAACCTTGTCCTTGTTTCCGCAACTGACAGAGTATTTATAATTCCCTTATTCCACTCTGTGATCCCTGTTCCCTTTGCCCTCAGCAGGTACCTCAGTCAGCTGCAGTCTTTACCGAGTGGGGATGGGAATGTTAGGGCACATAGTAGGCCTTCAGATAATATTTACTACATCAGTAAGGAAGAGGCTGGCCGACATGGATCATTGGAAGTAGAAAGGAGCCTGTCTCTGATCTGTGTAGACAACCTGAATAGACAAACCAACTAGAAAGCTCTGCTCACCACATTGTGAGCTAACACCCAGGTCAGGAGACAGTCTCTTGCTAGTTTTCGTTCCCCAAGGTGCTTGGACACACAATCAGAGAGCTGTCCCTTGGGCTCTACCTGCGTCAGGTGAGGTAGGTGAGGCCCTACCTGCCTCAGTGGCCCCACGTCTGTGGAGCGCTCTCTTGGGCTGGACGGGTAGGAGGGCTCAGGCAGGCAGACGGTGTGGAGGAGGATGAAAGGCAGTCCTCAGCCCCCTGTGCAGCACCTCCTTCAGTTCTTCCCTCTGGATGACATTTTCCAGTGCCCTCACCAGCGCCGCTAATGAGACCCAAGGGGCCCTGGGGGACTGCCACCAGGGCTTCCGCTGGTGCGCTGAGGGCTCTCCACTCTGCCTGCAGGCTCAGAGAACCTACCTCGGTAGCAGCTTCTCCTGAGTACTGCTCAGGACAACCAGGTTCAAGCAGGCAAGCCAACTCCAACCCACAGCTTCCCGAAGGCCCAGCATCAACCCTCACGCAGCCACAGACCCAGAGAGACGCCTGGACTGGGAGCTCCGTGAGGGCAGGGGAACAACCTCATCACACTTCTCCCAGATCTCTGACTGCAGCACTGGGGCCTGACCCCAGCGAGGCACGTGACACACTCAAGCAGTTCCAAAAGCAACAAGCAAAATGAGCGGTGCTTCTGAGAGGGTCCTGGGGACCATCCACTGGCTTCTGCCACTCCTTGGCTGAGTCACTTGCATTCTCTGAGTGCTGATTCTGATTCTTTATCTCAAAGGGGAGAATAACAATGCCTGTCTCAGCCACTGTTTAAAGGTCCTGATGTGACCCTGTGTTTACAGCCAGAGACTTGCAGAAGCTCCACAAATGCTACAGCCAGGCAGGCAGAGGCAGAGCTCCCCCAACACACCCACTTGACACCCTGGGACCATCAGACGCACCTCCCTGCTCTTTCACCGACACCTCCTGCCCTGCTGTGTGCCAGCAGGAGCACCCTGTGTCAACCAGTGAATCAGACCCAGTAGGAGATGTGCATGGGTTTGTTACAGGAAGGGCCTTACATGAGTGTGGAGCTGGCTTAGTGGGTCCAACATCTGTGGGGCAGGCAGGCAGGCAGGAAGGGAAGATCATGGGTAGACTGAAATCCACAGGCACTAGCTGAAGCTGCTGGCCACAGGCCTAAGTCCCTCTCAGGAAAGACCCAAGTTGTCTCTATCTTTTTAAAATAATATTTATTTATGTATTCATTTACTTGGTTGCTCTGGGTTTTAATTGCAGCATGCTGGTTCTTTAGTTGGGGCATGTGGGGTTTAGTTCCCTGACCAGGGATTGAATCTGAGCCCCCTGCATTGGGGGCACAGAGTCTTTAGCCATTGGACCAACAGGGAAGTCCCCCAAACCTTCTCTTAAAGCTGGGATCCCCAACCTCCAGGATTCAATTCCTAATGATATAAAGTGGAGTTAATTAATAATAGAAATAAAGTGCATAATATATGCAATGTGCTTGAATCAACCTGAAACCATTCTCTACCACCCCAGTCCTTGGACAAATTGTCTTCCACGAAACTGGTCTCTGGTGCCAAAAAGGGCTTCCAACAGAGTAAGCCAGGTCCAACAGGATCATCTCCATAATTTAAAGTCAACTGATTAGGTGCTTGAATCACCTATGCAAAAGCCCTTTAAAGCAGCACCTGAGTTAGTGTTTGATTTAGTAACTGGTAGGTGGGAAGTATATGCTACAAAATAGCTGCTTCTTCCTTTCTGTTGTCCAACTCCATGAAAGACTAGCACACAGGGATTCTAGCCAAGTCAGGCTACCAGGAAGCCCTTACATATCCCACTTGCTTAAACCTGTATAAAGACACTTCTTGTCGACATACAGTCACGGTTTACAAAGCACATTTAAATTTCATTGTCTCACATAATCCGCATGACAGCTCTTTGAAGGGAATTTATTTTATTGCTGACTTACCTAACCTCACATACAGCTGCTAAGTGACAGAGTCAGGACTTAAGCCTGTGTTGACCTGATTCATTCACATCCTCACCAGAGAGTGAGTTTGATAAGCGGAGGGAGGAGAGAAAAGCTTCATTTTCTGGCTGCATTTTAGGAAAGGGCAAAGGAATAGAGACCCAGATTTGTGAAGCAATCTTTGCCTAAATGTTGGTTTTGCTGGGGCCCATTCTAGAAGACAACAAGATAAGAAGTCACAAACAGGGGATTTTACTCTTCTGCATATGGTGCTTAAAAGGTCCCATTTCTTTCCCCCAATTAAATCTAACCTGTCCAGAGGGAATTCAAGGTGTTGCTATTGGAGCTTCCTTGTCCGCTATCCATTAGAGGTGAACAAAGATTCTGGAGTCTCCCCCATCACAGTACATTCAGAGAAGGGCCCACTGGCCTCTGTGTGCACTGTCCACATAGCCCTGCTCATGACCAGTCCTCATTTGGTCTCTGCCAAGAGTCAACTTTCTCAGGTCACCTTGCTGCCATTGTCCTCTGGCTCCTCCCAACCTCCTGGGAAGCCCCGCCCCTTGCCCTCTAGCCTGTTTTCCTCCAAACTGCTCTTCCACCATCTCCTTCAGCATAATCCCCTCAATGAACCTGTATTTTTTTTCTTTTTCTTGTTTGTTTTTTGTTGTTGTTTTGGCTATGATTTTTTATTTATTTTAATCGAAGGATAATTTCTTTACAGAATTTTGTTTTCTGTCAAACCTCAAAGTGAATCAGCCACATGAACCTGCATTTTTATGAAACAAAATCCTGGAAAGGGTAAGAGTGGTCTTCTAGATGTCCTGACAACCAACTGTTATAGTAGCAATAACAAACTTACTGAATATTTATTGTCTACTAATCACTAATCCTATTAATAAGGCGCTATTATCATTAACCACTTTTACATATGAGGGAAACAGAGGCCTGAAGTCACATGTCCAAGGTCAGCTCAGCTCACGAGCATCTCCCAGCTTTCTGACTCCAGGGCCCGTGCTCCAGCCTCTGCTCTGTCCCATCTGTCCCTAACACTGGTGTCAGGAAAGGGGGAGCAAAAGCCTGCCTGTGTGACCTTGGGAGAGAGGACGGACAATTAGCCACAGAAGCAAAATCAAGTCACAAAACAAGTTGCGGTAAATTATCTCATGCAGGTGGGTGGGGAGTGGGGAAGGGGAGTAAAGGAGCCAGATTCTGGTTCTGCCATCTACCAGCTGCCTGACTTACCCTCTCTGTCAGTCTCCTCCCGCACAAAATGAGGTAGGTGAGCCCAACCTTCCAAGCTCCATGAGAGGATCAAAAGAGAAAAAGTATGGAAGAGCTCTTTGTAAACTCCGAATTCTGTAGATGTTTCATGTTAAGAGTATGGGCAGAACATATGCCTTGCCAGCGCCTGGGCAGTCATGGCAGCCCTAAACAAAAGATAGCCTGGTGCCAAGGTTAGGTCACTGTTCTGGGAGCTAGGGAGCCGGGCAAAAAATTCTCTTAAAGACTGAAACAGAGTTTGCTTTCCTGTGCTAAAGATGCTGGAAAACATAGAACTACATTTCCTATACTTCTTTGCAGCTAGGGCCCATGAGTGACCAAGTTCCACCAGGAGAATTCCCTCATGAGACTTGGAGGGGCTGGGGAAGATAGGTGTGGAGGCAGAAAGAAATGTAAGGCAGAACGGGGTCAGGGGAGATGAAGCCTCTTGGGTGAGCTGTGGAGGTTTCCAGCGCCTGCTCCCTGGGTACAGGGCCTCAGAGCTGTGTCTCCACCAGGGCAGCCCCCTGGGATGCTTGTGGAATTCTCCTGGCTCGGTGATGTCTTGGCCCTCTCCAAGGTTCTATAAACTACCTAATATCCTCTAATAAATTCCTTTCTGTTTAAATCAGCCAGAGTGGAATCTGTTCTCCCAGACTGGTATTGGAAGAGATTCCGAGCAAGAAACCCTCGAGGATATGAGAATCTGGGACTGGTTTCCGAACACGTTGCATTTCCAGACAACAGCGAGACAGCACCAGAAGACAGGATTTCAGTGGTGGTCGGCCATCGCGATGAGCGAGCCACTACTCTCACTCTAAGGGGCCCACAGTAAGGAGTCCGTGGGAGGCAAGGCTTCAGCAACTTGGCCGCTGCTGAAGTAAACCTCTAAAATAAACTTTTATTACGAAAAATTTCAAACCAACACAAAAATAGAGTAGTATGCTCACATCCTCATGTACCCAGTTTCTACAGTCACCCTGCTATCATTCTGTCACTGCAGGAACTTCCTCTGTCCCAGTTCACTGGATTGTTCTGGAACAAATCTAATGTAACATTTCACCCCGAAGTACTTCAGCGTGCTTCTCTAGAAGGTGACTTTTAAAAATATAACCATGACAATATCTCACCGCCTAGAAATTGACACTAATTCCTTAATGCCACCAAATATGCAGTCAGTGTTTATATTTCCCCATGGTCTTGCCTTCTTAAAAAATTTTTTTCATATGGACCATTTTTTAATGTCTTTATCAAATGTATTATAATACTGCTTCTATTTTATGTTTTAGGGTTTTTGGCCTTCAGGCATGAAGGATCTTAGCTCCCAGACCAGGGATCAAACCTTCATCCCCTGCATTGGAAAGTGAAGTCTTAACCCCTGGACCACCAGGGAAATCCCTTGCCTTCCGTTTTTTAACAGTTTATTTGTTCAAATCAGGATCTAATTAACTCTATACACCGCGATTAGTTGATAACCTCTTAAATTTCTTTTAATCTATAAATTTCTCTCCCTCTTTCTCACTCATTTTTTTCTTCTTGTTGAAGAAATTGGGTCATTTGTTCCATAAAATTTCCCATAGATCAACCTCCCCAACTAACTTCTGGGAAAGTTAAAATCCACATATCCAAGACTCTTTTAGCTAAGGTTTCATCACAACCTGGCTTCTTCCAGGCAGACCACTCACCTGATACTTGTAGGTGGAAATGGGCTAGCTCAGAAGAGGCAGCTCTTCAGCGTGGGGCTAGAGACAGCAGAGTCCCTGGCGTACCTGTCGTGGGGACTCTGGATCATCCCTGGAACCCAAGGAGCCAAGTGGTAGGTGAGATGGCAGTCTGGGTGTCCCTCCTGGCTAAGTGTCCAAACCTGGTCACTAGGCCCTCCCAGGGATCCTGTAAACCATAACCCCTCCATGCAGTACACCCCTTTAGGTGTGAACTGGTCAGAGTGCATTCTGCTGACTGCAATAGAAACCAATATGGGTTCAGGGCAAGGGTAGAATTAACCTTAATTCTGCAGAGCGTGTTAGGGTTCATAAAACACTTTCACATTCAATGGGTGCTCTTAACTACCCCAAAAGAGGGCATTGAATATATGAGTCAGACCAAGCAACCAAACCTCCCAGTTAAGGAGTATCTCAAGCTCAATCTCAAATCTTCAGATTCCAGGCCTCACGCTGTTCTCACCATCCGCCTCCATCTCCTCACGGGCTGCCAGACTCACAGCACAGACGAGGGGTGTCTGGGGCTACGATGGCCCAGGAAATAAGCCAACACAGACAGATGCAGAGGCTGTAGGAGACTCTGTAGGAAGACTCTTCCCTTTCGGTAAGACGAATGCACATCCTCCCCAAAACTCCCTGCCCAGTGGTGTCAGGGTTACTTGGACAAAGTCCTGGGGCTTGAGCACCCCAACACTCCTCCTTTCAGCCAGGTTGTGCTGGAGGGAGGGGCAGCAATGGTCAGGAAAGACAACCCTCCAGGCAAAAGCCCACTCTGTCACCCCAACTCTGTCACCAAAGCCTTTCAGAGTCCCTGTTCCAGTGTGTGTGTGTGTGTGTGTGTGTGTGTGTGTGTGTAAGGGGGTGCACTGGGAATTGGTCAGGGAAATAAAGTGGAAGGGGGTTCAGGGGACCCTGAGAGGACCAAGGTTCTCTCCAATGCATGGTCACTCAAGTTTAACTAGTAGCAGTGGCCTGAAATTATCTAGATGAGAGGAGGGGCAGGGGAGGGAGCTCTGAGGGCCTCCCTCTGCCCTTTCTGATGGACAGCAGCTTTGATCCTGGAGCCTGAGGCTCACAAATAACATCCCAGGCACGGGTAGCCTGGGACTTCTCCAAGGGCAGCTGGCTGACAAGCCCGACTCTGCCAGGCCTTGCAGGCAGGCCTGGCCCCGCTGCAGCGGGCCGTGACGGGTTTATGGCCAGCAACCGACAGTAGTTACCTCAGATTTATCACCCGTCTACAAGGGCAGGGGGAGCCACTAAAGGCTGCCAGGGAGCCGTTCAATCACCGTGATGGGAAGTGCAGTCGGAGGTGGCGGAGAGCAAGGGGGTAGGAGCATCCTGGGAGCCTGGGCTTCCTGCTGGCGCCTTGGGCTACAGTCTGTTCCTGAGGGGGATTTAGAGTCCTGGAGCCCACAGGAGTCAAGCCACCCTCCGAGAGGGAGACATAGCTGAAGGAGAACGAGGGTGCCAGTACAGTTGGACTGGCCCAGGCAGAGCCGTGAGGGGAAGCACGGGGACCCAGCACCCAACCTGCTGGCCACAGTGCCTGTGAGAGGCAGCTTGCCACCTTGGGCAACACTGCCTGACCGCCTGCCTGGGCAGTTCTGCCTTCCTGGGAGCACGTCCATCTTCAAGCAAGTCTGTTCATGGCAACCCTCTATGTGCAAATACCCATGCCCTTTCTCTGGATGTGTGTCTGTTTGGGGGTTTACATCAGCAAGAAAGGTGCATGCATGCAATGAGGCCATTTCCCATCGTGCTCGAACACCGGCCTGGACAGCTATGTCTGTGAATTAGTATCATATCAGTGCACAGGTAGGGTGGAGGACGGGGACATCATCAAAGGCAGAGGGTTCTGGGTCCTTGTCCACGCCTATCTAATGGGAGAGTCAGTAGATACAAGAATACAAGAGAGAGGACACAGGAGGACATGGAGAAGGGCTGGTGGGGTTTAATAGAAGGGCAACTATGGATGAAACGGATGGGAGGAAAGAGAAGCTGGGTAGGGGTGGGTGGAAAGAGACTTAAAGATTAGAGGGAGAGCCAAAAAGAGCCCAGATGTCCACACAATGCAGCCAACTCGGCCCCAAATGTGGTCACGAACAGGAGGGAAAGGGTGGAAAAGAGGTACGGGAAGAAAAGCAGAAAGGACAAGGGAGGAGGAAGGCAACCCGAGAAGGGGGAGCAGCGTGAGGCAGCGGGTGGGAACGTCATCTGCTCCAGGAGCCTGGGACCTGGCTCTACAGCTTTCTCACCTCAGCCATCTCCACTAGTTCTAGCTGGCTCGGCAGCTGGACCTGAGCACAGGTCAGCCTGCCCTCTGGCCACTCCACAACTACCCAGGCCCAGCTCAGAGCCCAGAGAGAGTGATCCAGGCCTGGGCTGGGTGAGAAGCAAGCTTGCCACCTTGGAGATTTCACGCAGAGAAAGGAGTCTCTGTCCTCAGACATGCGTGGGCTGATGCCAATACAAGTGTGGAGCACCATTACAAGGCCCAACTGCTACCCAGCACACAAGCGTGTGCATCCACATGGCCATCTCCATGTTCCTACATGTCCTGTGAGCACCTGGGTCCTGACCATATAAGGCATCACTTGAACAGTGCAAAGCTGGTCCAGGCCACCTCTTCCTGCAGCCCTAGGAATTCCTAGGTTCAGCTCTGCAAAGTCTTCTCTTTCTGTCCTTGCATTTGCTATGAGGGATCTTCTGGCTGGACTGCCTGGGCTCCAGCAGCCTGAACCCCAAAAGGCCAGGTGTGAACCCAGACACTGCAAGTGGAACAGAGCCTAAAGCTCACTTCTACAAGCCTGGTTCTGCCACTACAGACCACATCCTATGGGTGTGAGGTGTTGAGGAGGGTGTCTGTGTGTTTGCCAGTGTGCACCTTGGGTATGTCACATGACTCTGGGTATCATGGGGCACCCAGCCAGCTCAGATGCTGGGTGTGCTGAGCCAAGCAACAGTTCTCCAAGTGTGACGTGTAGACCTCTGGGTGTCAGGAAAAGTCCTTGAGGTACCCTTCAACTTTTCCCCTTTCCTATGCTGCACTGGTGTCCGGCCCTTTGTGAGATCCCCTTTCTCTGAATGTGGGCAAGACCTGTGACTTGGTTCTACTGTAGCATCAGGCGTCCAGCATCTCTGGAGCCCTGGGAACACTGTAAGCCCTCTCCTTCCCCAACATCTACAAGAATGTTCATCCTGACAGACCGTTCCCTGCCCTACCAGGGCTGCGGGTAAAATTTCATACAGCCAGTTACACACGCATCCCCACATCTCAATCCTGGGCTATGTGGCAGGGCTTCCCTGAGCCCCTCCGCAGCAACAAGCAACCAGGGGCAGCAGGGGGCGCACTCCTCCCTGCACTGTCTTCTCAGGGAGCCCAACCTAGATCCCCAGCATGAAGCAGAGCCCATGCTAAGACCACCATCAACCTGTATTCATGAAAGAATAAAGGACTTATGAAATAGCACATGAACCAGGGTGCAGCACCTGTTTCCATCAGAAAGACGATTTCGCCAGGAACCAGGGGACAGAGGCTGTTGGCCTGTGGTGATGCAGGAAGGAGCTCGGAGGAGAAGGCAGATTTCTGTGTGGCTGAGAACGCAAAGCTGGAAACCTAGATGCCGTGGCTGCCCTGAGATGACTCCCACTTGAGCAAAGCAGTTACCTCTAAAGGGATCTATGTGTCCTTTTGTGGCAGAAGAGGGATGCTGCGGGGAAGTGGCAGAGCTACATGCCCAGGGCTGCAGTTTAAGAAGAGCGTGCCCTCCCATTCCCATGGTCCCTCAGATGCTGACAGCAGCCAAGGGAGGCTTCAGTGGGTTTTCTGGCACAGGTTCCAATCCACCTTTGAAATGAGGTGAAACTGAGACAAGGAAGGACCTCCAGGGCAGGATAGGAGCCAAGTTTCCCCACACAGGGGAGGATTCGAACCCGTTGCAGGAGTGTGAGTGGCCACTCTGCCCTCAGCCTCCCAATAATCCCTAATACCTGTAAGTTCATCCATGAGGGGACAAACCCCACAGTGAGAAATGCAGCATTAATAAAATATCCCTGGGAGAGAGAACAGAGACACATTCTTGCTCAGTTCCACAAGGCAATGCATTCTGCCCTGGGCTCAGCTTTGTGGGGAGGGCTGGGAGCAGGGCCCCCCCGGAAGGGTGGAGTCAGAAGCAGGAGGCCATCACAGGCACTCGAGAGCAGAACAACTCTCCTTCCTCCCATTTGGGACCTGGAGTCCCTCCCCCACAGCACCTGGGATTAGCAGCAGAGGTGCCAGCCCTGACACTCCCACTAACCAGGGAGACAACAAAGCCGTCCCCCATCCCCTAGTGCCAGCTCCTCTTGACAAAAGGAATAAAACGGCCCACTTATTTTTATCACTCACAGATTTCCCAGGAAATGGGCTATTAGTTCCCCTAATGTAAAGATAATAGGCTTGTCCCCTTCCATACATGGCACAGCCCAGCATGAACTTACTTGAAGCTCCATCAGGAGGTCTCTCCTGCAGACGATGGGGTACCTGAGAGCAGGGCCTAGAGAGGAGCCAGAAACTGGGGTTCCCCCACCCCCAATAGCAGAGACACGGTTTCAGGAGTCTCTCCCTGCCCTGTAGCTGACCCCACCCTACTCTCAATTGTAATCTTCATATTTTACCCTCACAAACACCTATGGGGTAAGTAAACACTACTATCACACACCCCAACAAATAGGGTGTGGGGTCCCCATAGGCCAAGGACAGGATGCTTCCCAGGGACCTGTGTATGCCTGTGCTAAGTCTCTCCAGTCGTGTCCAACTCTTTGTGACCCCATGGACTGTAGACCACCAGACTCCCCTGTCCATGGGATTCTCCAGGCAAGAATACTGGAATGGGTTGCCATGCCCTCCTCCAGGGCATCTTCCTGACCCAGGGGTTGAACTCGTGTCTCTTATGTCTCCTGCACTGGCAGGCAGGTTCTTTACCACTAGCGCCACCTGGGAAGCCCTGGAACTTGGGTGCCTCCAGTTCCTTTCTAGATTGTGCTTCATCCATTTCCCTTCCTCTCCACAGACCCACTGTGGAAACAGCACTGCCAGGACTTCAGAGCACCAGGCTCTCAGTGAGTTCCTCAGCCCTTGGCGAGGGCCATTCTCACACAAGAACGGAGAAGGGGGCCTGGCTTTCCTGTGGTCTGTGAGGACTGCACCCTGCAAGGTGGTGGCTGGTGCCTGGGCATGTAATCACACAGAACTCTGGTTTTATGTTGCTGCTTTACTTGTCACACGTGTGGCCTCTCTCTCCACCAAAGCTGCATGCTCTGTGAGAGCAAGAGCCCTCACCGATACTCTCTTTGCTCCCAGGAAGCCTGGGCAGTGATGGGCAGGAAACAGGGGCTCAGTGAGCCCGTGATTGATGAGATTTGGGGCAGGGCCCAGGGGGGCCCGGCCCTGTGCTGCTCCTGCTGACCACAGTGAGTGTGCAACGATGCAAACTGCCTTTTCAGCCTAAGCCTGGGCTTCCTGCTCTCCCGGGTGTGTGTGTGTGTCCCTGAGAACACCAGGCCTGCACACAGTAGGTGCCCTCCCCCCACTCCTACCTGTGCTGCCCCTTACGCTGTGGAAGCATGAGCAGGCAGAAAGTAGGGACGGCCTCTCCTAGAGGGCAAGGGCCAGCTACCAGGCACTCCTTTCCCCTTGGCCATCGGAGGTCTGGGGGTGGGCGCCATGGCCTGGGGATGGAAGAAATAAACTCACATTATCTGTTTTTCTGCCCCCAAGGAGAAAGACAGTCTGTCGAGAACCATGGAGATTCTGAGCCAGGAGGCGTGCTGACAGCCTGGGCTGTTGTTGGACAAGCAGGGGCAAAGCTGCCCAGCCCAGGAGGAGCTGCCCTTTCAGAGGGGCAGAGGGTGGGGAAAGCCTATGACTACCCCTTCTGGGCTGCCCATGGAGTGACCAGAGCCACTTCTAGTGATGGGGAGGGAATTCCTCTGTGTTTCAGAGGGGAATCCGCAGGCCCAAGAGAGGAGAAAAAGGTCCCAAATCCCTCCAGTTGCTTTGAAATTTCAAAAAGAGGTGAAGGTGCATCTATGCCAGCAAGAACTTGTGGGGAGTCACTGGGGAAAACTTAAGGATAAGGCGGGGCAAATTTGAGTGTGCAAACAAGCAGGATGGCCGGTTTACTGAACAGCCAGCTTTTCCTCCTCCTTATTGGGACTCAGAGCCTCAGGCTCCCTCTCCCCAGCGGGCTCTGTGAGCGGCTCCTGGGGCAGGAGGTACCGCGCCAGCTGCTCCAGGTCCCCCAGGCTTATCCTCTGCAGGCGCTCCTCGTGCTCCCGCCTCAGCAGCTGCAGCACTGCCTCGGTGTCCTGGGGCCCAAAGTGTTTGGCCAGGACCTGGCCCAGATGATGCCACAGGGGCTGGGGCTGGCGGGCATCCTCAAGCGACCTCAGCAGCTGCAGCACTGCCTCGGTGTCCTGGGGCCCAAAGTGTTTGGCCAGGACCTGGCCCAGATGATGCCACAGGGGCTGGGGCTGGCGGGCATCCTCAAGTGCCGGCTTCTCCAGGGGCCGCATGACCACATTGATGGAGGCATTGGGCCCGATGCGGTAGTCGGAGAGCTGCTTGTCATCTGCCAGCAGCTGGCCGTGAAAGAGCAGGTGCTGCTCCTCCTCCGGCAATGCAGCCGCTCGGACACCAGCTTCTTCAGCATGGCCACGCTCTCCTGTCCCGACACCTTCAGGCTACATCTCCGGCCCAGGAGCAGCTTGACTGTGAGGAACATCGGGCTGCCAGCAGATTCAGGAGGGATCCACGCTCTGGCGGCTGCCCTGAGGGTGAAGGGGTTCTGTAGGAGAAGGCTTATGTGTGTGGTTTCTCCTTATCAATGGAGGGCAGTAGTCCCAGGAGGCCGAGGGCAGGGCCCAAGACTACAGCCATTGGCTGATGCATGGTGATGTCACAATGCCGCTTATCAGAGGGCTCATGTCCAGAGTGGGACTTTAGGGAAATGAGAGGGACATTTGGGACACAGAGCATTCCTTCCTTTAGAGGAGAAATGAGGGGAGAAGAGGGGGGAAAAAAAGGAGGGTAGGGAAAGCAAACATAGGACTAGGAGAAAGGAGAGCAGGAGGGTGAGACAAGAGGGTCCAAAGGACAGGGTGGCAGAAAGAAACACGTCCATGTTGCCTCATTCAGCATTTCATGCCCTTTCTGCTGGAACCCATCCCCAAGGAGAGATCATATCATGATAGATACGTCCTGCTCTAATTTATCAAGGGTCTTCCTTCTGTCACACACTTGACATGCTCTCTTGGATTGGGTTTCCCAGACGCAGAGACAGGGATTCTCAAGCACATACATAGTTGGGAGATAACCCCAGGATGCTTCTGTAAGCAGGAGAGAGAAAGCGAGACCAATAAGGGTGGGCAGCCCACACTGCATCAGTGAGCAGATGGTCTTTGTGGTCAACTAGGAACTCTTAGTCCCACCGGGCACCTTGGAAGGCCACATGGAATACACCAGCCGTGCTGTTGGGGAAGTAAAGAAGCTGGACCTGTGTGCTCTCAGTCCTGCCTTTGGTCAGTGGGGTGCTAAATTGGTACTGGCGGTCTGAATGTGTGCAGAGCAAGCTCCAGGGACCAAAGGAGACCCTTAGGCAGAGACTTGCAGGAGCTGGTGGTAACTTTAACTCTCTCCACTCCCATTTCACCCCCATCGCCAGCTGCTGCTGATGCTAAGTCGCTTCAGTCGTGTCCAACTCTGTGTGACCCCATAGACAGCAGCCCACCAGGCTCCCCCGTCCCTGGGATTCTCCAGGCAAGAACACTGGAGTGGGTTGCCATTTCCTTCTCCAATGCAAGAAAGTGAAAAGTGAAAATGAAGTTGCTCAGTCGTGTCTGACTCTTAGCAACCCCATGGACTGCAGCCTACTAGGCTCCTCCGTCCATGGGATTTTCCAGGCAAGAGTACTGGAGTGGGGTGCCATTGCCTTCTCTGCCCCCATTCCCTACTCACAAATAATTCTCTTGTCGCAGTTAAAGCCCACTCAACCAAAAGGATGAAACAACCTGAAGGAGGCGCCAGGACACAGAAGTCGCTGTAAAACCTGGTGATGGCGGCTAGCCGCTCCCACCCCAGGGTCAGATCACCTGGGATGACACAGTCTCCTCTCATGGGTTGAGACAAGATAAAACCCTAGAACCTAAACAAATCCCTTGTGACCTTTGAATTCCAGAGCCAGCTACCCCCACCTGGGCCCAGCCCCTTTTGCAGAAATGAATCTGCCAGAACCCATCTTAAGCAACGGGGAGCAGGGAGGGGCTCAGGCTGGGCTGCCGGCAGCGTCTGCTGCAAGGCCCGACCTTAGTGAATCCTCCCGGCCTCTGGGGCAGGTACTGTCCTACCCTCCGCCTGCCAGAGGAGACGGTGGGGCTGCTTACCGTCACCGCCAGCAGGCGGCACGCTAGTTTGGCCTCCTGCGACATCTGCTCTGTGCCCTCTGGGTGCCCGAGGGTGCCCGGGGCGCCGAGGCCAATAAGGAAGGAACATGCTGGGGCCTCTGGTGTCAGCAACTTCTGTGGCCTCAGCAGTTTTCTGTTCAACTCGAAGATCTCCTGGGCTGAGCCTGGTGAAGGTGCTGACACATTTAAGTCCATGAGGAAGGCAATGGGGGCACTTTGGAAATGAGTGAGCCTGGAGGCCTGGCTGACATCCCACAGCTGGTGGGGAATATTGTCAGGGGTGCACTCACTTCTCCCCAACACTTTGTGCTCCACGGCTGCTCTCGTCAAAAACCTGTTCTTTCCTCTCCTCCCCTCTTCTACCCACTTTCCTTCCTCTCCCTGGGGCCCGGGCTACACTTGATTGAGACTGTTGCCAACAGCCCTGGACTTCCAGACCTCACCCTTCCACAGTACTGGGCTGATTCCCTACCCAGGTTGCGCCTGCCTCACCCCTCTCCTCTGACTCTGGCAGCCTTGAACAGCAGAAGATCACACCCACGAATGCCACAGACTCAGCTGCCTTCTTCCTTACTCCCAACCCATGTTCTCATCTCCAGCAGGTGACCAAATTCTAGTCCATCAAGAAACTAAGCTAAAAAGTCAGGAATCTCACCCCAAGAATGAATGACCCCGAGGGAGCAGGACTGGAAGGAGGCAATGCACTATGAATTCTGAGCTACCGGCTGGAAGAAAGTGAGGGTCTGAATTGGGCTGGGATTGGTGGAGATGCAAAGGAGGGGCAGATTTTGGATTTTGTTCCAAGGAAGGACAGAAATAATAAGAGGGCTCCTGTGGTCGGGAGAGAAGAGGAGAAGGGAGGTGGGGAAGGGGCAGCTGACCAGGTGGCACTCTTCTGAGTGACACCATCTGGTTTCACCCTTTTGCTTTTGGAATCAAACCTAGCTCCTCAGCCTGGCATCCAAGGGCATCATGACCTGGCTCTGCTTCCCCCCAGCCTTCCCCACTTGGCATCCTCCACTCCAGCCACACCCACCAGCCTTTTCCTCTACTTACCTGTTTCATTAGAATGCTTCAGCTCATCCTTCTAATCACTGGTCAAAAACCACTTCCTCCATGAAGCCTTCCCTACTTTCCCTAGTCCTAGGTGGAGGTAATCCCACCCGCCTCTGTGCAGCCATTACCCTCCTTGAACATTACTTGTGATATATCTATACATGTCTGTGTCTCCCTCATTGACTCTCAGTGGCAGAGAATGGGTCTCATCTGTTTCTGTAACCCCGCCTCCAGCACACAAAGACTGGTACACAGAAGGCCTCACATGCATGTTTATTGAATGAAGATGATAAATTTCAACACGCTGAACTGTGCAGACAGATGCAGGGTCCAGAACAGCAGGCTGTGGAAGCAAATGAACCTGCCTTCAGCCTCTCCATCTCCCCCAGAGAAATGAAAATCCAAAATTACATAAAAAAATAAATCGGAAAGTGATTGCAGTCTTTACCAAAGGATCTTCTATAGTATTCTTTAAATAGCCACCTCCCTTGGTGCATTTGAAATAAGATAGAATTTGCAGATGTTTATACAGTGCGTGGGGGCCCCGTGGACTCCATGATGGCAGGACGTCTGTCTTGCTGAGGGAGCTGAGGATGGATGAGGTTTCTCCTTGGCCATCTGAGAGCTCCCAGCCTCAGGAAGGAAGGACCCTGTGATGGACAAACCCTGAGACAGACAAGGTTGTGGTGGGGGGAGCTACTGTGAAAGATGCCCAGAGCAGAGCTAACCTAGGAAGGCTTTCTGGGGGCAAGGTTTAAGTCATCTTCTGCTGGAGATGGAAGGAAAGTGAAATGGGGAGGGGAGTGGCTTGCGATCTCTTTCCCAGGCTATGGAATTTATGAGGAAAGAGGAGGGGCCCGAGTTCTGGGCTTGGAGGAAAAAGAGAACCAGCTACCTGCCTCAGCCAGACCTCCTAGACTTGCCCCAGCCACTGGGAAAGAAAGGTTGGGACTCGGCTTCTAGAAACAGCTAAGGCCACAGTTCAGGCTCCGGCTCCTCAAAGCTAGTGACCACTTGCAGACTGGCATTTCTGTGACCAAGACTTCAAGGACCAGAGCTGCTGGGTCACACTTTCCAAATCCACTTCCTGGTCTAGAGAGTCCCAGTGTGCTAGGGGGCTATAAAGACAGAAGCCTTAGAATTAGCGGTATCTCCATTAGGAGAGATGGTCACCACTGACCCCTGCCTCTGTGTTGGAGCCCCCATTGCCCTCCCCAGCGAGGAGGGCCCTTGCTGGGCCCTCAAATCATATTTGAAGCTTGAAAATTTCATAATTTTTTCCCAGGCGATTGCTTGTCTTCATTATGCAATTAGCATGAGAAAATGCAGTTGTGTAATCAGAGCAGGCAATCAGACAACGATTGCCATAATTAGGGAGGAAGATTAGTGGGAATGAGTGGGTTTTGTGACTTGAGGGAAAGAACAAATGTGTACAGAGAGAACGCTGGTCAGTGGTGGGTCCCAGCCCCTCTGACATACAACTTTAAGTGCAATCGTGTCACAGGAAAACCAAAATAAAGTGTTCAGGAGAGGAAGAGGGGGAGGGAGAACACTTAGTTGCCTGGAGCCTTTGGTGTAGGACTCTGGGACATTGGCACACAAGGGCCTGAACTCCGTAGGATAAAAGCCAAGGGTCTAGCGGTCAGCCTGGGGCCACCTTGAGCAGCCTGCTCCTTGAATCTCATTTGCTTCCTCTAATGCCTCCTCTCCCTTGTGAAGGTCTCAAGAGACAGGTCATGCCCCCAGGACCCAGCACAGTGACTGACCCATAAAGACATTCGGTGCATATTTATAAAAACTTGGAAATGTGAGCTGTTACCCCCAACTGTCAGGGGAAGACCCCATTGCATGAAGCCAGATGCCCATGTGTGATGACCCACAAGCAGGCTGAGCCTTCCTGCTGGCACAGGTAGGCAGCCCAGCAGCCTCTTCAGACCCAGAAAGCCAAGGGCAGGAAGGGGCCAGAAGATGCTGGCTGACAGCTGGCAGTGGCAGTGCCCTGAGCTTTAATCTACAACCACTGACTGGGGCTGCTCAAAAGGCTCATGAGCAAGGGACATTATGCCTCTGCCCACCTCACTCTCCAGGTAAGTTATCAAGTTATTATTAGACTTTAGAAATGTCAGGGGCGGTGGGGCAGGCGGGGGGTGGTGGGATGCTAGCTGGAGGGGGACTGAGAGATACTGAGAAGCGGGGGGATGGAGACAAAGCAAGCAGAAGAAAGGCAGGTGGAGCCACAGAAACAGTGGAGGGGGAGCGGTGGAGAACGCGAGGGCTGAGCACAGACCATGCTCAGAAAAGAGAGAAGTCCAGAGGGATAAGAGGAGTGAGGGGCAGGCAGAGGAGCCGTACAGAGGTGGCAGGGAGAAGGGACAAAAGGACATTTGTGCCTGGAAAGGAAGGAGGG